AAGAGAAGAGAAGAGAAGAGAAGAGAAGAGAAGAGAAGAGAAGAGAAGAGAAGAGATCATTAAGGAAAAAAAAAATAAAACCCTTCCCCAAACAGTTCTTTCAAGAAAACTCAACAGTGCAGAATGTGCAGTAAATCCATGCATTTTGTAAATGAACCAATCTAAGTTACAGCAGGGACTTTCTCCATACCAAGTCAAGCCATACCTTCAGATCATTAAACTGACCCTAGTTGTTAGCAAAACGGGGGAGCAAAGTGTGCTTTTGAGGAAGGGGAATAAAGGCTGTGATTGTAGAACAGAAAAACCCACGGATTCCAGTATCTGGATCCTTGGGAACTTTAAGATGTGTGGACTTCAACTCCCAGAATTCCCCAGCCAGCCATGCTGGCTGGGGAATTCTGGGAGTTGAAGTCCACACATCTTAAAGTTCCCAAGGTTGAGAAACACTGATCTACACTAATGATGCCAGCAAAATTGTGGTCTACAGTCAAGATACTGTTTCAAAGATCTCTTTGGAAACTGGTGCTCCTTTGAGTCAACATATCCTGTCTTAGAGGAAATCAAGGCAGTCAGGAAAAGCAGCAGCTGCAGGAGGTTGAGGCAGCTTCTAAGTGCCCAATTAACCCCCTCTTGATTAATTATTCCAAGTATTGCACGTTCAAGGTCACAGTTGCTCCGCTACCGCTAAGGGTGACTTGCTTGTAACTGAATATTCAAAGCAATCCTAAAGTTACATATTTTTCCATGGATGCCTCTCCTTGAGAGGACCAGCTGTGATTTAAGCAAACCTACTCACTGCCCTGAAGCTAGCTTCTGCTTTTTTTTTTTTTTTTGCATTTCCGAGCTCTCGGTTGCAACATATCCATCATCGGTTCTTGAAGACAATCTCTTCCTACTTACAAGTTATGAGGGTGACATGTTCTAGGCATGAGGATGAAGGGGGCTGGGAAGTTCTGCAGGCCACCCAAGTCCTGCCTGACCCACATCATGTGGCACGGCGTGGTGGTTACATTCTGGGAGTTGGGCTCCTTTTGTCCAGATTTGGGACCTGCTTCAGGTCCACAGGCGTTTTCATCAGCAGGGCTTTGTGAAACCATGATGTCACAGAGCTCTCCCCAGGTCTTTGTGAGCAGGGCAGGGCAAGACAACAACTTTGCTGAAGGAGCTGAGATAGGAACATAGGCATCATGTCCAGAGTCACATTAACAACATGGCGACAACATTCCCGTGAATATGAAGCCAAACCTTTGAAACTGGTCACCAGCATCACCCTTCACATGTGGGAAGATTAAACAAGTCTTTGCTCTGCTGATGATTATAATAGCTCAAGAATGCTTTTCTTTCTGCAGGAACACCCATGGCGACACACAATGCAGACTTTGGAGCCTTATGACAAAAAGGAGCCCATCTTTTCTTCCTACCAGCAACCAACCAGGAACGGGCAAACTAAGAACTGAGTAACTGGGCAAACCATGGTAGGCTTGCTACTTTGCTAATGGCATTTGTAATATAACTCAGAAAGATGTTGTGTTCTTTTTATTTAGCTGGAACACTTGACTGTCCACATTATTCCCCCCCCCCTTTTTAAAACTGAAGTAAACAGGTATCTATTTTCTAACTTTCCACTCAGCAGTCTTTAGTTTCTTCCCTAAGGCACCGGTTTGATCTGCCCTCCACCTTTTGCAAAGCGTCCGTCCTCTAACTACTGCATGCACTGGCCAAATGGATATGCAGATGGCCACCGACCGAAGTAAGGTGATGTGGCGGGGGAGGGGGTTGGCACCTGTTTCATCCAATTATTTCTATATCCAACACTCGCTCTTCCTGAGGCAGAATTGCCGCTAACGACCTGCAGCACCTTTTAGAGCCATCCAATTACTGTTGGGTTGTAGTAATTGCACAGCGGCCAGGCAGGGCATTGGCCTGATGACACGAAACAGTACAGAAATAACCTGAGATTTTGCCAGACAATGAGAAAGCCTGCCCATCCTTTTGCGTGTCACTTCCCGAATGCACTTGGGAGGCATGTTCTAATTCAGTATCAGAGCATGCTTTGCGTGCAAAATGTCTGTTTCTTTTTCCTTCAGAAAAGGAACTAAATCTCAGGCCCTAAGGAAACATTCTAGTTAGAAAGGATAGTAATCAAGGAGATACCCTAACAGCCTGAATTACAGTAGTTCAGGATAATCCATTTCACATTATTCTCTAGAAGTATCACTGCTAAGAGCTTTGGATAGAATTCTGTTTCAGATTTATAGCTGGAAAAACTGAACCCAAGTCCAACTCATCACAACGAAGCAAGCCGGTTAATTCTAACTTTTAAGGAAATGAACGGTGCTATTTAAAGGGTTCTTTCTCGCCCCCAATTTAATCGTCTCAGGCTTTTATGCCTTAAATGAGAATACATAGTGTTATGAAAAGTTCCATTAGGCATCAACAAGGATACTTATGAGTTTAATAGAGAAGGAACTGGATAGTCTCCAGAGATTCTCAACTTCAGCTCCCATCAGTCCATCACCCATAGGAAGGAATTACAGGAACTGTGGTCCAAACATCTGGACTACAACTTTTTCTGTATTTTTTTCCTATAAAATATCAATGGAAGAATTGCCTACAGCTCTCTCGCTAGCTCAGGATTTGCTAATAAATGAATAATGTCAAATAAAGCCATTAAAAACCCTCAAAGGTTCTGCATTCTGGGGTAATATTCCTACTGTATTTACAGACACTCACTAAAATTAAAACAACCCCCCCCCTTGTACATAAATAATGCAAAAAGGTACAGCAGGAACTATGCAAGAACACAAAACCTGTGTATCCTTTCACACAGGCAATCCCATTCTGGTTTATTCTGCAGTCTTCTTCAATCATATCATGCGCAAAGGAAGTTTGGAAGAGCAAAAAGCTCCTTAATTTCTCTCCTGGAAAGACAAGCGCTGACCAAAGAATCATCTCCTGATTATCAGCATCAGGTTCCCGGCATACAAATGACCTTAGCAGGAGATAATGAAGACAGAAAGCCAGCTGTCACATATTCAGTATTGATTTTACACCAATCGAGGGCACAGAAGCATCTTAACTGAAAAATCCAACGTTCTTGTTTACTGCTGCTGTCTCGGCAATCCTGAGCAATTGAGGCTAGTGCCTAAAAAAAGAGGAGACGCTTTATTCCCCAGAGCGGAGGCAAAACAGGGAATTGAAGACGGGCATTAAGCAGGAACAAAGCAGGATTGAAAAAGCTTGTTCCATGGAGGGAGGACGGCCTCTCCCACCCTGGCATCACCCGCCGGCCCGGCTGGCTGGCACCCTGGGGATTGGGACCCTGCGTCCCAGGAGGGTGCCACTGGTGGAGGGCACCTCAAGGAACCTGGCACCTGCTGGGGAAACTCCAGCAGCTCATTCCCGGAGCCAGAGCCCCCTAGAAGGGTTGGGCTCCCATCCCCATCATCCCCAGCCAGGGTTGCACAGAGGAGGGCAGGGGCGGTGGGGAGTGATGGGAGATGGAGCCCAACCCGCCTGGAGGAGACCAGCTGGGAAAACTCCAGCAGTTCCCCCCACCAAAATTGGGATGGGCGTCAACTCCCATAATCCCCTGCGACTGGGGATTATGGGAGGCGAGGTCCAGGGCAGGAGGGGGAGACACCTG